GTTTTTGAAGTTTTTTCATTTTTTCTCTTTTTGATTTCAATCAGTCATTCATATTTGAATCGCAAATGGCGCGAAGCTCAGCTTTGCCTCGTGTCAAAGTTTGTTCTGACAAACACTAAATCTTGAGCGAGCACATCTTCAATGTGTTGTTTTTTTATTGAACGCGGCCCAAATTTTTGCTAGAACGTTTTTTTAAGCCAATCTCAGCGATGTTTTTTCAAGTCAAAGAAGTTGACTTCCTCCGCAATTCCGTTTGCTCTGGAACAAGCTCAATACCAAATTTCGTTCTGTCCACTACTGTTTTAATTGGATTTTCGCGTGGCTCTTTTATTTTTTTGTTAGACAGTATTGTTCAAATGGGACGTCGTATCGTCTGTGAATGTTATTCGATAGCATGAGTAATTCTTCAAACCATTTAAATATGGCAACAAGAGCACGCTTTAGATAATCAGTGTTTTTTTATATGCTCGTGCTGGTAAAATAAATTGTTTGATCGAATGACTGTTAGTTTTTTGTCATCTTTGACGGAGTCCAGCTTTCTGACGCATACAGTAAAGTTAAAGTAAACACGCTCTTGTAAATATTCAAAAAGATAGTGAAAATGTTGTTGTGTATAACATCGTTTTTGTGAATTGATTTTGTCTGCAAAAATTGGAAAAGGATAATCTGGCGTAAAGGTAAAACAACTCTTTTAGATGGCAAAGACTTGCGGTTCGAATCCTTCCGGGCTTTTTTTTGCAAACTAGAGTTGGGCTTTTTCGGACTATCCCATGTCTGTTTGTTTTTGTCGGCTCAGTTCCCGTCGCTCGATGGTTCAGCTTTTTTCCAGTTATTGTAACCGCCATGCCTGAGACAACAAAGCCCGGGATTTCGATTCTTGTTGAGATCTGTTTTTTTTGCAAATAAATTTTTCGGCTAATTTTGTCTGTCTGCCTTTTTTGTCTGCTTAGTTCCGAAGAAATGACAGTTTTGAAAACTTGTCTTCTTTAAAGAATTTCCAGAGCTTTTTGTAAAGTTTCTTATGGTGCAGGCTTATTTTCAGGATATTTTGAGCTTTCGTTGCAATTTTTATTGACAAAACGAGTTTTTGAAGTTTTTTCATTTTTTCTCTTTTTGATTTCAATCAGAGTCATTCATATTTGAATCGCAAATGGCGCGAAGCTCAGCTTTCCCTCGTGTCAAAGTTTTTTTTCTGACAAACACTAAATCTTGAGCGAGCACATCGTCAATGTGTTGTTTTTTTATTGAACGCGGCCCAAATTTTTGCCATAATGTTTTTTTAAGCCAATCTCAGCGATGTTTTTCCAGTCAAAGAAGTTGACTTCCTCCGCAATTCCGTTTGCTCTGGAACAAGCTCGATATCAAATTTCGTTCTGTCCACTACTGTTTTAATTTGATTTTCGCGTGGCTCTTTCATTTTTTTGTTAGCAGTATTGTTCAAATGGGACGTCGTATCGTCTGTGAATGTTATTCGATAGCATGAGTAATTCTTCAAACCATTTAAATATGGCAACAAGAGCACGCTTTAGATAATCAGTGTTTTATTATATGCCCGCGCTGGTAAAATAAATTGTTTCATGGAATGACTGTTAGTTTTTTGTTATCTTTGACGGAGTCCAGCTTTCTGACGCATAAAGTTAAAGTAAACACGCTCTTGTAAATATTCAAAAAGGTAGTGAAAATGTTGTTGTGTATAACATCGCTTTTGTGAATTGATTTTGTCTGCAAAAATTGGAAAAGGATAATCTGGCGTAGAGGTAAAACAACTGTTTTAGATGGCAAAGACTTGCGGTTCAATCCTTCCGGGCTTTTTTTTTGCAAACTAGAGTTGGGCTTTTTCGGACTATCCCCTGTCTGTTTGTTTTTGTCGGCTCAGTTCCCGTAGCTCGATGGTTCAGCTTTTTTCCAGTTATTGTAACCGCCATGCCTGAGACGACAAAGCCCGGGATTTCGATTCTTGTTGAGATCTGTTTTTTTTGCAAATAAATTTTTCGGCTAATTTTGTCTGTCTACCTTTTTTGTCTGCTTAGTTCCGAAGAAATGACAGTTTTGAAAACTTGTCTTCTTTAAAGAATTTCCAGAGCTTTTTGTAAAGTTTCTTATGGTGCAGGCTTATTTTCAGGATATTTTGAGCTTTCGTTGCAATTTTTTATTGACAAAACGAGTTTTTGAAGTTTTTTCATTTTTTCTCTTTTTGATTTCAATCAGAGTCATTCATATTTGAATCGCAAATGGCGCGAAGCTCAGCTTTGCCTCGCGTCAAAGTTTTTTTCTGACAAACACTAAATCTTGAGCGAGCACATCTTCAATGTGTTGTTTTTTTATTGAACGCGGCCCAAATTTTTGCTAGAACGTTTTTTTAAGCCAATCTCAGCGATGTTTTTCCAGTCAAAGAAGTTGACTTCCTCCGCAATTCCGTTTGCTCTGGAACAAGCTCGATACCAAATTTCGTTCTGTCCACTACTGTTTTAATTTGATTTTCGCGTGGCTCTTTCATTTTTTTGTTAGCAGTATTGTTCAAATGGGACGTCGTGTCGTCTGTGAATGTTATTCGATAGCATGAGTAATTCTTCAAACCATTCAAATATGGCAACAAGAGCACGCTTTAGATAATCAGTGTTTTTTTATATGCTCGCGCTGGTAAAATAAATTTTTTCATGGAATGACTGTTAGTTTTTTGTCATCTTTGACGGAGTCCAGCTGACGCATACAGTAAAGTTAAAGTAAACACGCTCTTGTAAATATTCAAAAAGATAGTGAAAATGTTGTTGTGTATAACATCGCTTTTGTGAATTGATTTTGTCTGCAAAAATTGGAAAAGGATAATCTGGCGTAGAGGTAAAACAACTGTTTTAGATGGCAAAGACTTGCTGTTCGAATCCTTCCGGGCTCTTTTTTTTTGCAAACTAGAGTTGGGCTTTTTCGGACTATCCACTGTCTGTTTGTTTTTGTCGGCTCGGTTCCCATAGATCGATGGTCCAGCTTTTTTCAAGTTATTGTAACCTCCATGCCTGAGACGACAAAGCCCGGGATTTCGATTCTTGTTGAGATCTGTTTTTTTTTTTTGCAATTACTTTTTTCGGTTAATTTATATTATTGTCTGTCTGCATTTTTTTGTCTGCTTAGTTCCGAAGAAATGACAGTTTTGAAAACTTGTCTTCTTTAAAGCATTTCCAGAGCTCTTTGTGGCGAGCACATCTGGCGTAAAGAAATGACAGTTTTGAAAACTTGTCTTCTTTAAAGCATTTCCAGAGCTTTTTTCTCAGGAACAAGCTCGATACCAGAAAATAGTTGTCCAGTATTGTCTGAATATTTGAAATTGATGTGGCACGATTTTTTTTTTGCGAGGCAGTGTAATTGTTCAAATGGGACGTCGTAGCGACTGTGATTGAGATTCGGCAGCAACAGTAACCCCTATCGATAGCAACAGTAATGGAGATGTGGTGGTGGTACTTGAAATTTCCAGATATGAATAGACCAAAATCATTGACCTGGTTTTGATGCATAAGAGACTTTTCAAGAAAGTGCTAAGAATTATCTGAGTCGTTTAGTCTAGGTAACGATAAGCGTTTTTTGGCATTAAGTTTAAATTGGTTCACAAAACTCCACAGCTCCGAGCCCTTCAAAACTGATTGAAGACACTGGATACTTTTTTCTCTTCGAAAAGCAGTTTTAAATCATCGGGAATTAGTAAGCCTTCGAACAAGGAGCAGCATTTGGTTAATCGTTGATGACAATAGGAAATAAAAGAGGACCCATTACTGAGTCCTGTGGAAATTCACTGGTAATAGTCATTTTGCTGGAAAACGCGCCCTTATATTGCACCGATTGTTATCTTTCAGTTAAATAGTCAGCCAGGAGTTTCGCAAAAGTTTTTATCTAGATTCAGCGAAAGGATTCTCTGCATTAGCAAATTGTGATTAAGTTTATCGAAGGCTTTCGTGAAATTGAGATAAATTAATAAAGTTTCAGCTTTCTTCGAATTAATTGAGCAAATTATCTCAACCAAGGTGAAACAGCAGTTGAAAGGCGGTAGAAAGTCGTTTGATGAACCCGTATTGGACAGCTGAATAGCGTTAAACGAAATGTTTGTATACATGAATAAATAGTAGCTTCTCAAATGTCTTCGATGCGATGTTCAGAAGCGTAAAGGGTACATAGTCCTCTACCAGGGTTTTCGATTCACTTTTGCGAAGAGATGAGGATAACGTATTTCCATTTGGGTGGTAGCGTAAACGTTTCAGGTTCGAGTTATTGTTAAACCATGAAAGGAAATTGTATTAGCTGTCGGCTTGTGGCAAACTATCTGGACCTTTCGCTTTCCTGATATTCAGATTAAGAATTTCATTTGCGATATCGGTTCTGCTAAAATTAATAGAAACTGAACCTGAATAAGATTCATCAATATTGAAAGTAAAAGGCAAATCGGAGTTGACAACAGATGCGAAGTATTTATTAAAATAATCAGCTTTTTCCAGATTTGTCTGTGCCGTTAAATTTTTTCATTGATTGATAGAATTCATTTTTTGCTTCGGAGACTGCGGAACTACTTGTAAATTGGTCCAGAGATCCGACTTGAGAATAGCTTAATTTCGGAATCTGCTTCATCTCGTTCCTGCATTTTTTTTACATCTTGTTGCACTTTTTTAATTTTGTATCTAAATAATAGCTGGTGTTCGATGAGCGTCGGATTTAATTGCTTTGAGTAGTGAGCCGTTTGATTTCGTTTGATGTTTTTTTTGTGTCGTGTCCAAGTTTTTTTGAAGTTTCTTTTTTAATTTTGTTTTTTCATTATCCTTTTGACCTTTTGAATTCAAAAAGCCTGTGAACTACTGAATTTCATTGAGAATATCTCATAAGCAATTAATCGGCAGCCTTTTGTTTTTTTTCTATTATGGTGATAACCGTTTTTCAACTGTCTGTTGCCTATGTTTCGATTATTGAAAGTCTTCATGTGTGTCTTCATGATTATTGAAAGTCTGAATATTTTTTTACTTTAGGCTCGTCAACTATGGGGGAGGTGCAAGTATTCGACGCACACCACTTAGTCCCTGTTGTTACCATTCCGGCACATGATAACCCACTCACCGCAATGAGTTTCAGCAGAGGTGGCGACAAACTGGCTACTGCGTCAGACAAGGGCACTGTAATCAGGGTTTTCTCTATGCCCGAAGGCAACAAGGCTAGTAGTGCACAGAATCAATCAATACAGAGTAATAATAATTGATCTAAAACTAGGTTAAACTCAGAACAGTTGCCATTAAAATTCAATCCAAGATAAAAAAAAACTTGGTTTTTGACCCAATTTACGTTTCAGTGGCGAATCATTTTAGGCTAATTGATATATCAGTATAACTGACCTGACCCTAAATGATTAGTTTCTTTTGTTACAATGTTAGCAGTTTATTCCTGTGCTGTTAAGCTTTACTCCTTTTTGCGTTTGGTACGAATGGTTGTGAGAACTGTTATTTTTCTTAATGATGTGTTCTAGGTGTTCGAGTTCAGAAGAGGAGTGAAACGATGTGTCACCATCTACTCCCTCTCATTCAGCAATGATTCCTTATTGCTCGCCTGCTGCAGCAACACCGAAACTATACACATATTCAAACTAGAAACGGCCTCTAACAGACTGTATTCAAATGCGCCAGTGACAAACGGACAAAGAGCACTTCCCAACTCTTCTCAAAATTTCAATGACAGCGCCAATAGTCAAACATGGATGGGCTATTTTGGTCAAGCGATAATGGATAGCGCCTCTTACTTGCCTTCAAATGTGGGCGAAATGTTTACGCAAGGACGGGCTGCATTTCAAGCAAGGATTCCATCATTCAACGAAGACTCCACTTTCTTCAACACATGTGCTCTGGCATGGATCAATAAAATTCTGAGGTTGGTCGTAGCTAGCACCTCAGGCCAATTGTATATTTTCAATGTTGACTTGTCTGATTCAACAGGGGAGTGTGCTCTAATTCGGCAGCATAAAATTGACGGAAGCACTGGGTTAGGAGTAGGTGGAAGTCGAAAATTGAGCACTCCCAATGGATCAAAAGCGTCAACAGGGAGTTCGGTTGCTGCAAAAAGCAACCCCCAGCGAGTTCCCGGCATGTCTGCTCGGACTAGCTCCCAAAGTTCGGGCGATTATCCACATCAGAATAATGTTGTTACCTCAGAGGAGCAGAATAGTCCGCGGACATCAGGTGGAATCGACATTCCTCGCTCAAATTCAATTGAGGCGAACCAGGACTTGAACTATTTACCCGGTGTTACCCATTTGTCTTTCCCTTATACAGCAGGAGAAGGCTCTTTCGGAAATAATCAGGTGCACACCGCCTCGTCGCCTGGCAGTGCGACAGGAGTCTCGTATGCCGGTGCTTTGGGAACATCGCCGGGAGCAGTGGAAGAAACGGCGAACCAATTCCAGGCTGCAATTAGGTTGGACGATGATAGCGAATTCCCTCCTATGACTATGCATACAGATGACTGAACTGCAAAACTTCTAAATAATATATCTAGCAAGGCAAAATGATTTTTTGAACGATTAGATTGAATTTTAGAATCAAAAGAAACAAGTCGAACGTATTGCCACTGTATTGCTTAAGTGAATTCTAATTTTTCGTTCTCTAATGGTTATTTGTTTGCCTCGAAGATATACTATTGGTTTATAGATTTTACTTATTGTATGGGTTAAGGTTTTATGTTCTTTTCGTTACCAGTGTCCGAAATACGTCCAGCTGTGCAGTTGTCAAGTCACTCATGAGATTTAGTTTTGTTAGATAGATTTAGTTGATAAATTGAAAAATGATTTTCCTCCTACCAAATGGCGCTAAATTTTACACCTTCAAATGAGAGAAATGCTTAGAGTTAGTTAATAATTGTAATATTATGAATCATCCGAGAATACTCAGTCTCTATCCCCTTTATTGTCACGGACAGTTAATGCGATTCCCATAGTTTATTGTAATAGAAAAAATAGCTGAAAATGTCTTTTTTGTTCGTACGAGTATCGTCGCACAGTTGTGCTTGCGAGTGTAGTATTTTATGATCAGTCTATTTCTTTCCAATGAAGTCGCACATTTTAGAGCAAACTTCAGCGTTAATTAAACAGTATGTTTAAGAGTAATGAATGTAGTGAAGACTCATATACTTCAATTGTCTGTTGGCCATTTTTTGAATCTTGATTGTCAATGAATTTGTTTTAGTCAATTTTGAAAATCGATGATAGTAGTTAAGACTTTAATATTGGTCATGATAAATTTTTTCAGGAAAAATCTTAAAATCTGTTCAGGCTCAGTTTTGGTTTTTCGCGGTTCGACTTTTGATTTATTTTAAAGTTCAGTTCATTTCCATTGCAAAAAGGAAGGCAAACTCAACTATCGAACAGCAAAAGTGTAAAGGTCACGAAAAACGTGACCGACTTTTAGTTTCAAAAGTGGATTTTAATGTTAACGCTTGCGATTAGCAAGCGTTATCAAACTGGAATATAGACTTTTTTTAGTTACAACTAGTTTAACAAAATCAGTTGAATCACTTGCAGACTATGCAGCTGATTTTTTTTCACTTCTCTTCTCTTAGCATCTTCCAGGTTGCTTCCCCTTGGCCTGGAGGTAAGTAATGTGCCTCTGTATTCTAAAGTGTGGGGTTCCAGTCGTGGCCGGACCATGTTTTTTTTCAGTATCAAGGAAATTATAAAAAAAAAATCCGAGAATAATGAATTACTGGTTTTTCGTTTGTTCGCTCAAGTTTTGTCGGCTTAATTGCCTAAACAGCTTTTGCTTGTGCCATAGACAATTTGCATTGTAGTTGCAAGTGCTGTTCATTCTAGTTTCAAGGGGGACATGAAAGATTTTTAAAGAATTAAAAAATCATTTTTCGGATCAAGTGGTTTCAGCTAAAAGATTGTTGGCTTAGTTGCCACGTCACTGATTTTTCTTGTGCTATGAACCACTTTCCCTGTAGTTGCAAGAGCAAGTGTTGTCCATTGCTGTTTAAGGTGAGATTTTAAACTTTTTTTTTATAACATCATAATTTTTTCGGCTCAACTTGTCTGCTCAAAGATTGTCGGCTTTGTTTCTTTTCGTAAATTTTTAACGTTGCTGTTTTAAAGTTCAAATGTCTGGCATGTTTGCCTAAAATGATTTTCTATCGAGACATATGAACGTTTATATGTCATAGTTTTTTTTCAAAAAATTTCATTTTTTTTGGCTTTAATGTAATTTTTTATGTTTGTGTTCTATCGAAAGTGGTGCGAAGCTCCGCAACGCCTCTTTGTCAGTGTTAGCGGAAATGAGAAGTTACCCGTTGATCCAATTTTCTCTAGTTGGGTTAGTTTTATCAACAAAGGGTTACATATCAAATGGCATAATTCTCAATTTGCCTATAAATAGGAAAATTCAAAAATAGCATTTATTTTGTAAGTTTTCCTAAAGCTTAAACAGTCTAACTTTTGAAAAGCTGCAAACAGAATTAAGTTAACTTGAAAATAATTTAACCGGAATATTCAACAGAAAGAAAGAAAAAATTAATTTTTAATTTAAACAATTTTACCAGAAATACTATCCCAATATTCGTCGATATCAAGCGATTGGGCTTTGACTCTCGGTTTCACGTTGCAAATCACTGCATTTAGGTTTCTATATTTTTCGTTGCGGAACATGAGCTTGGCTACCTAATTGGAATCGCCCATAAGATCTTGCCAAATTTTCTTCATTTTGTTATGCTTTACGACCAAAATTTTCTGACCGAAATGTCTTTTTTCGTATCTTTTCCATCTTATAGTTCTCAAAAAAAAAAGAAATGAATGGATTTGTATAGCATGAATACTTTTTTTTTGGCTATTGAGTTCTATAAGTACTGCCAAAATTTTCCTAGGTTTTCAGCCGACTATTTTCAAATAATTCATTTAATTTTTTTCGCACACGAGTCGGATTATCTTTCTAACTTTGGCATGTAGTTTGGTACCGCAAGTAGTGCGAAAAACATGAAATTCAATACCTTCATATTTCTTGTTTTTTTTTTCATACAGAAACTCATCGAAACTGAAATTAAGAAGTTTTGAGTTCAAATGTACTTCGGTGGTTCCAAAGCCTCAGTATTTAAAAAGTTACAAGGAATTAATTACCTGAACTCTTCTATCGGCAATACATATGCGAACGAAAAATTAGCCGGTACAGAGTGAATACTACAGCGTAAATACTACAGGTTTTTCCTTATTTAGCTATGCAATCGTTTTTCGTTTAATGTCTGTTTGACTAAATTAAAATTCTCAAGCCTATTGTGGCGTGGTATCAGGGTAATTTCAAGTGTTGCAAATCGGGCCTCCAAATATATTACTGCTCAATCTTTTCGGTTTCCGAGGTATCGCATTTTTTATGATTTTGTTTCAGAAAACTTAGTTTAAACAGTACTTTCAGAACTTCAAATTTTCAGCTCTTACTGTACACAATGGAGTTGAAATTCTGCTCTCCTAATATGACTGCTCAAATCTTCTCTTTTTTCGAGATATAGCGGTTTTTACTTTTTGGCATTTTTTTTTCAAAAAACTAAGATCTAAAAAAATAAAAGAATGTGAAAATTTGAAACTCATGGTGAGGTGCTATTCTGGTTTTCCAGATATGGCGATGTTTTTGATTTTTTCTTTTTTTTTCAAAAAAATTAGATTAAGTATTTCCAGAACTCGAAAATCTCAACCCTATCGTGAGGTGCTATCACAATACACTATGGAGTTGCAATTTCGCCCTTCAAATATGACTGCTCAAATCGTGTCGATTTTTGAGATATGGAGTTTTTTTATATTATTTCGATTTAAGCAATAAAAAAACTTTCAGCCCTATGGTGGGGAGCTATCAGGTTACACTCAGGAGTCTCAAATCTTGCATCCAATCTTACTGCTCAAATCTATCTGTGTTGCGAGATATGGTATTTTTTATACTTAATAATTTTTTTCCAAAAAACTAACAACTTGAAACTTTCTGTCAGGGTACTTTATTTCTGCCTTGTAAATATGGTTGCTTTTATGTTTTTGTTTTTCGAGATTTTTCTATTTTGCATAGTATCTTCAATTTTTTCAAAAGTTTCAGATTTGAAAAAAAACTAACAGAACTTGAAAGTGTCAACCCTATGGTGGGGATTTTTCAGGATACACTCCTGGATTGCAAATATCGCCTCCAAATTAGACTCATCAAAGTTTAAGAGCCGAGATGTTTTCTTCAAAAAGTTTGCTGTCGGTTTTTTTGGGGTCCTTTTTTGAGTTTTAAGTTTTACAAATCGGATAAAACTGTAATTTTGGAGAGGTGACTATTTGTTTGTAAAATAACCCAAAAGATGACTTTGTAAACTGTTCAGTTAATGAAATAGAAAACCCGGATGGATGTGCCTAATTTTAATTTACGGTTGCATTAAATGTCATTGTTTGTTTATAAAGTAATTTTTTAGGATGCTCTTTTCAAGTTCAACGATCTATTTGATGCACCGTTGGTGTGAGTTATGCGCTAGTTATATTTGATTTTCGATGAACCAGGTTAAATTATAGTTCTGAAACACGGCCAAAAGGTCTTCAAAATAGGAGCAAACTCGTTCCAGTTCGAGTTATTGTTCAGATACCTGAAAATGTGGAGATAAAACCACCCTGTTCCAAAACATGCTTTCTACTTCATGTCAAAGAATTCTAGCACTTGTTATTTCGAGCAATCTCGAAGAGATGAATAGAACTATGGCGTAGTGTCCGCTTTTCCGATTTACTTCCTTTTTCCAGCCAATTTTGGCTATCTCAAGGTTAGGATGGTCTATCTCTAGGTAGGAGGATCAAGTGTGGCATCATATTCAAGGCTTAAAATCATATTGTGGCATCATATACACTTTAAGCTGAAAACACTGAGCTGGAAGCTCTATGATAATTGTGTGTCCGTTGGAGGCAGAATGAGATTATCTGTGCTAACTCAGCTATGAATTTTCCTGAAAAGTTTCGGTAATTGAATGAAAACTGTTTGTACAGGGTTTTTGAAATAACCTGACGAAATTTTATGAACTTTTAAAAAATTGATGCGGGAGGTAATGAGGTTAGAAGTTTATGGTCGTGATTTGGATCTATAAAAAAATTCAATAAAAATCTATGCTGAAAAACACTGGTCTAAATGTTTTGATTTCCAGACTTTAGACGAAGAGGCAGACTTCCTCAATTTAATTCTACTGCAAGTTGATTGTTGTTTCAGATATTAGTGTTTCTCATTCTTGCAGTTTTCAACTAATTCAGTCACTTTACTAAAAAAAAATAACCCTACAAAGAAAAGTTTTAGAGAATTTTGACTTTGTTTATGATAGAGAATCGATAAACGTAGTTCAGACCCTTATATAGTTCTTGAAGATGTTCATGATCAAGAATCGATAAACGTAGTTCAGACTCTTATATAGATCGTGATGGTTTGACTTTTGACTTGGTTTTAAGTTCAGTTCTTTTCCTCTGTTAAAAGGAAGGCAAACTCCACTATCGAACAGCAAAAATGTGAAGGTCACAAAAAACTTGAAAGTGGAAATACATTTGCAGATTTCTCAGCAAATTTTACCTATTGATCAATTTTTCTCAAATTGGGTTAATTTTATCAAAAAAAGTGCCAATCTTCAATAATTCCTGAAATTCAAATCCATTGAAACGTTTTTTTAAAAAGATAACTCAAAGTTTGTTTCGGAAGAGAACTATTTTTTTGTTTCCTTGCGGTCCATGACTCTGTTAATAAGTTACTGTGGTTGTGACATTCTGTTTTAATCGCACAGGAATCGGTTATCCTTTTTTTCCTTTGAACGAAGTCTGTCACGGTTAAAAGGGCCCATGGTAGGCTTAAAACAGTGAGTTGGAAGCTCTGTAATAATTGTGTGCTCTTTGTCGCAGAATGGGATCATCGGTGCTAACTCAGTTAGGACTTTTCCAGAAAAGCTTCGTTGATCGAATAAGAACTGTTTGTATTTGATTTATGAAATAACCCGACAA